ACCTGCTATACATTTTGTAATGAAAAACAATCTGCTGGGAATCCCGAGGGCTATTGATCTGTGGTGGTACGAGGAAATAGAAAAGAAGAAATGTGGTTTGGTATGACTCCTAAGAACCCGACAAATTTGTTCCATAGATGAAATGGGATCCATGAACAGCATCTATTTATCTAAGCCTGTTCTGTCCACTGTGATTGTTCCTGAACCTCAGAACGGTCTCTATTTTCAGCCTCTGCCTTCTGGTGTCCTTGGGATTTACAGGAGCATCTCCTTTCCAAAATGTTTTGTGGGCCCAGGGTCTCAAAACACAAGGGGGCAGGAAGAAGGATTTGAACATACCTCCACTCATACTCCTACTGAAACTTTCCACACCAATCCTTGCAACCTGCACACTATGCTCAGGGCTTTATAAACCTGAGAAATAATTCAATTTTCTGAACATTTCTCATGATATGCTAAACCACTCTAGTTGGTGGATGTGAATCTGGGTGCTGCCAGCTTATCCCCATCCTGTGAGGCTAGTTGATTGTAGCTGGTGGTTTTCCTATTGCTAAATGTACCGTATGGACTAAACCCAGAGTGGTTATTTCCAATTAACACAAATTGAGGTTTGAAAATATGCTCAGTTCCAATTTGTATGAACTGGAAATGGTGCTATTCCACATTCAGATAATATGCTTAAATCTGGGAAAGCCACTGACTGTGGTTAAGGAGCCACACAGGACTATAACAAGATGGGAGGACCCTCATTTTCTAATAAGACAGGATGACATAGCGCATTGTGCAGTTATATCCTAATCTGTAGCTTAGGCTTCCAGTAGAAATCACAATGAAGTCATAGGCATCATGATGCCATCACACCAATAGCACAAATTACATAATTTGCATCAGTTACATCACAACGCAAATGCCATATAGTACATCATTTGCATGATGATGTCACAATGAGTATGGTTTCATTCGCTTCTCTTGTGCTCCTGCCACAGAAGGGCCTATAGACCTGTTGATCAAACCGTCAGTCACTAAGCACTCCCTACTTATAAGCAGCACTCCCTCAAAGCGTGGGGCCTTCCTTATGTTGAGACTCACCTCGGAACAAAGAGAGAGGTATTTGGCAGAGGCCAGATCCTGCACACAAAAAGCCTGGCCAGCAAGCCAACTAAGCACCATGTCAGTATATGGTCTGTGCCCTACGGTCAGCTTGCAACATTCCCATTCATGCTGGCAAATGTGCTTTCAGCCAGAGGTCCATGGCCCTCCCTTTCCACTCCGCTCAGGAAGCTCACGCAGGCCACAGCTGTAAGCTGTCGGTAGAATCTCTTGGAATAAACAAGCTATCCTGTTGAGGCCAACAAATGCATGTCTATAAATCAGTCCCTTTCTGTTTGTGGGATCGCTCTCTATCTTCCTCCTTCCACGCCCCCCTTACCTCCCTCCTACACACAACTGCGATGTGTGGGTGTCACCTGTGACCCCCTGGCAGATGGCGAAGGGAGGCCCACCTCTCTGCTCTGAAACTGTTGCAGCTGAGCCATCTGTCAAAGCACTCACGTCCAGCTCTCTGCGGCTCCCGCTTGAAGCTCAGCATCCACGAGGCTACTATTCAGGCGGCTGCAGCAATCCTGCATACGCTCAGGCTATCTATCCACCCTGCAGGCTGCTTTCGCTGTGGTTCCTCTCTTATGCTGAGGAGCTGGGGGGGGGGAATCGAAGGAGGAGCAGCCATGTCAGAAGTTCTGGAAGCACTTTGGGTTGGTGGATCCATTGGCCACACTCAACAAGCTCAAAGCAAGCTGTAGCAGAACCCCAGAACCGGGCCAATATCCTGGACTAGTAACATAAATTAGCAAAGGGTAGCAGCTTTAAACCTAAACAGCAATTAAAGAT